ATCGAGGAGAGCCTGGACGCACTGTCCGGTGCCCGCTGGTTCTCAACCATTGATCTAGCCAGCGGGTATAACCAAGTCCCTGTGACAGAAAAAGATAAGCCGAAGACTGCGTTCTGCACACCATTCGGCCTCTTCGAATTCAATCGAATGCCTTTCGGGTTGTGCAATGCTCCAAGCACGTTCCAGCGCTTGATGCAAAGGCTGTTTGGAGACCAGCAGTGTCAGTCATTGTTGTTGTATCTTGACGACATTGTGGTGTTCTCCTCCTCTGTACCACAGCATTTAGAGCGTCTGGAACTGGTTCTGGAGCGACTGCAACACCAAGGGTTGAAGGCCAAACTGGAAAAATGCTACTTTTTCCAACCAAAAGTAACGTACTTGGGGCATATAATCTCTAAAGATGGTGTCTCCACAGACCCTGCTAAGATCGATGCGGTCGCTGGGTGGAAGCGTCCTTGTAATGTTACCGAGCTGCGATCCTTTCTCGGATTTGCAAGCTATTATCGTCGCTTTGTGGAGGGGTTTGCAAAACATTCCGCACCCCTTCACAAGCTGGTAGCAACCATCGGTGGCACAAAGACTAAAAGGGGGTTAGGAAGACCTCTGGTTGAGGCCTGGACCCCGGAATGTGAACACAGCTTTGAGACTTTAAAGTCAAAGCTTGTATCTGCTCCTGTGCTTGCATATGCAGACTTCGCCAAGCCCTTTATCTTAGAAACGGATGCGAGTTACAGTGGCCTCGGGGCCGTACTCTCCCAGGAAACTGAGAGTGGGAAACGACCGGTTGCCTATGCTAGCCGTGGTCTTCGGCCCACTGAGCGCAATATGACCAACTATAGTTCCATGAAATTGGAACTCCTTGCGCTCAAGTGGGCCCTGACTGAGAAATTTCGAGAGTACCTGCTGGGACAAAAGTGCTTGGTGTTTACGGATAACAACCCGCTGAGTTACCTGCAACCGGCCAAGCTGGGCGCCCTTGAGCATCGGTGGGCTGCCCAACTTGCTTCGTTTGACTTTGAAATAAGGTACAGGTCAGGCCGAAGCAACGGCAATGCTGATGCCCTGTCCCGGCAGTATTTAACATCATCTGACATGGCTGCCGGCATATTGCCTGGGAGCACTGTCCCGCAGGAACTTCAACATTCAGTCCAGCCCATGGTTGCTACCCATTCGTTGATTTCCGCCTTGCCAGGGCGGTCCCTTGCTGACATCTGCGCCCTGCAGGAGACTGATCCCTGTATCCAGGAATTGCGTGTCTTTTGGCAGAGAGGGACCCGACCAACCCCAAACGAGCGCAGACGTCTCTCCATCCCGACCTGCAGCCTCCTTCAGCAGTGGGATCGGTTGGAGGAGCAGGAAGGGGTGCTTTACCGTAGGGTTTTGCGGCCAGATGGTGGAGAGGAGCTTCTCCAGCTTCTTCTGCCTGCGGCACTTATAGAACAGACCTTGCAGATGCTCCACCAAGAGCATGGGCACCAGGGCATTGAAAGGACCACTGAACTGGTGCGCCAAAGATGCTATTGGCCTCGAATGGCAGCTGACATTAAGCGGTGGGTAGAGCGCTGCGAGAGGTGTCAGGTAGCTAAAGATTCTGCCCCTGTTCCCCACAGCTATATGGGTCACCTGCTTGCCTCCCGGCCAAACGAAATCCTGGCTATTGACTTTACTCTTCTTGAGCCAACCTCTAATGGGGTTGAGAATGTGCTTGTGATGACTGACGTTTTACAAAATACACAGTCGCTATTCCTACTCGGGACCAGCAGGCTCCTACGGTCGCACGAGTAATCACGCAAGAGTGGTTTTACAAGTATGGTGTCCCTAGCCGTGTACACTCTGATCAGGGCAGGTGCTTTGAGAGTGCGCTCATTCACCAGCTTTGCGGACTGTATGGAGTCAGAAAGTCCCGAACCACGGCATACCACCCAGCAGGGAATGGGCAATGTGAGCGGTTTAACCGAACGCTCCATAATCTTCTTCGGACCCTTCCTCCATCTCGGAAGAGGGACTGGGCAGCATGCCTTCCCCAATTGCTCTTTTCTTATAATACCACCCCTCACCAGAGCACGGGGGAATCTCCTTTCTTCCTAATGTTTGGCCGGGAACCCCAGCTCCCGATTGACTTTGCCCTGGGACAAGTCCAGGCACCATTTCCTGGCACCGTGCAGAACTGGGTGTCTGAACATTGCTCCAAGCTCCAGGTTGCATTTTCTGGTGCCCGTGAGCGCCTGGCGGTAAATGCCAACCGCAGAAAGAAAAGGCATGACGCCAGGGTCAGGGAGGCACCTTTGCAGGTTGGCCAACTTGTCTACCTCCGTGACCATAGTGTTCGAGGGCGGCATAAAATTCATGACGTTTGGCACCCGGAATTGTATCAGATCTTGAATGTCCCTGAGGGAGAAGGGCCAGTTTACACCATTGCCCCAGCAGTAGATTTGCAGGCAACACGCAATGTGCATAGGGACATGCTTAAGGCACAGGTTGCTCCTGCACCCGCTGAACGGGAGAGGGAGGAAACCGTCCCTGTTGAGCGCGCTGAAGGGGAACACTCATTGGAGGAGGACTCGTGGTATGTTGTCACTAGTGCTCCTGGACCTCTGCCCCTGACTGTTCCCCATCATTCAGGGCCCCCTGAAGACCATGCTGCCCGACCCACAGGGGGTGGGGCCGAACCTCCTGTCTCTGAGGCCGCTCAGCTGGCTCCCCGGCGCACAACTCGGGCAACCGCAGGACAGCATTCTAATTTACATCGCCTCCCTCATGCGCGCAGTGAATCTTCCAGATCCACTCAGAGATAAGTTGCTGGCTATGGCGTGAGTCTTATAGAGTGTCGTCGGGGCGACGACAAAACAAGGCGGGGTAGAATGTGGCATGGTTGTATATGTACACCTTTAAATGTGCGCCGTGGGCGGCACCAACACTGTCTTTATAGGCGCGTGCATGTGGTGCGTGTGCAGACCACACACACCTGTCCCAAGTGGGCATTGGAGTGACGTGCACGTGTTGCTGCTCCTGGTTTGGAGACTTTGTCCACCAAGCCACGCACTTTCGGCCTCTTTTCATCCAGGGCTTACACATAGCTGCTCAGCCAGCTCTCCCACCCTTCCATGCTGGGAGTACGCGCACTGGGTGCGCGGTGAGGGTACGGGGCTCTCACTAGACCCAGAGCTGTTGTGGGACAACTCCGCCTATCACTGCGGCCCTCCCCCTCCTCCTGCTGCTCCCGTGCGCACTGTTGCTGGCCGGACAGGGGCTGAGTGCAGAGCAGCGCTCGGGCTGTCACTTCCGCAAAGGGAGGCCGTTGTTTTGTCCCGTTATATTTCGCTTATATGGCGTTTTACTGTACAAAGCAAGTTGACCGGTGAGCAAATTACGTTAATGATTCACGGATAACTGGGTAGGTGATCGAGCCCCACCTTTGCATGTATATTTTGTGCTGCTTGTTTAAATTAGTTTTTGTTTTGCATCCTTTGCATGTTCTGTTAAATTGGTTTTCTTTTTGCATTATTTTTGCATGTTCTTTTGCTTGCTTTTTGTATTTTTTGTTTGCATGGCTTTTCTGTCCTTGCTCATTGATTTGTGTTCATTATTTGATCTTCCCCGTTTTTGATTTGCTTTGTGCTCATTTCTGCCCGTTATGTTGAATATTTGTAGCTTTGTCTAGTTTTAACTATTTCTACTTCAGGCCTGTTTTAATCAATGAACTTAGTGTACAATAAAAGATAATTGTTTTTGTAAATCTCACTCTTCTTTGTCCCACACCTAGCGCGGCCTTATATTACATATTTTAGATGGTATTGGTCTCAAGGCCATATTCCTTGGGTGGCGTTGTTTAACCAAAATAATAATTTCCTGCTACCCCTCATGCCACAAATGCATTATTATTGAAAAGAGAGACTTTAAGTTACACAATCATAGTTTTATTACAGCTTATCACTTACACAGACAGACGTGTCAGCGATACCTAGGAAAAGTGAGCAGCAGAATGCTCGAATTGGTTTGTCATTTTTTACCTTGACAACCAGATGCTGCTTTTCTTAATTTACACCCTGTCACTGCATTGTTACCTGACCTGAAAAGAAGTGATACAAAAGAAAAACAGCAGAAGACAAGGGAAATAACAATGATTTTTACGGACGACATGACAAACTGGAATCTTGAGCAACTTTGTCGGAGTTTGATGTGTGTGTGTACAATATTTTCATGTAAAGCATATGGTTCAAGAAAGCTCCTTACATTTTTTTATAACAACAAAATAAATAAACAAAAGCCTCTGTTCTGTCCAGGCTTAGATGGGCACTTGCATAAGTTAACACAAAAAGGTTACAATAACCTAAATCACAAAGCCTCACGCTTCATGAAACAGCAGGCACTAACTTTTAATGAAAACTTTTCTCCCGTTGATCCAATTTGACCAAAATGTTATTGTTAAAAGTAATTGAACCTAAGAGAGCATTTGTCCTTGAAGGTAGCAGGAATGCATTGCTTGGTTGGTCGAAATGTTTTCAAACAACAGGTTTTCGTTAGAGTCAAACAATCTTTGCTTCTTTGCATCTTGATCATACACTACAGAATGCCTTTATTTGAATGTTGGTGGCAGAATATACTTTGACAAATTCAAGATGTAGATAATAACCATTTGACTTTTGATGAACATATGGAAAACTATATCACATTCCTCAAATAAAGTTCCTCGTACAGAATCAGTTGTATTTAATTTATTCAAAAAGAAAATGTCCATTTTTTTTTTTTTTTTTTTCAAAAAGGCAGCGTCCCCATTGTATTTCAGTCAACAGCCTCCTGGTTTAAGCAGTCCCATGTGCTGATTGAGGGTCTCTTTGAATATTTTCTTTTATGTATGTTCAAATCCAGAAGGTTGTTTGTCCCAAAGAATTCTTCATTCTGTTCAAGATACAAGCTATACACCAGAGCGCTGGAGTCTATATTTACAGACAATTCCTTTTGCATCATTCTCCTCCGTTGATGATCCAAGCAGGAGCAATTTACCTTAAAAAAAGAAAGGTGATGATTAGTCACTATGTGTAATTTCCTCTATACAGTTGAGTTTAAATGAAGAAATACTGAAAGTAAACAATAAACATGATTGCATTTTCATATTTTTATAATTAAATGTCACAAAAACGTGTCATTTGTGTACATGGGCACCATTTTGAATTGTATTTCAAAGTTGAGTGAGAAACTTAAAGGAGCAGTATGTAAAAATCTGGCCAAAATTGGTACTGCAATCTCCCTGACTCAGGTTGCCAGATATGCAGACGAATCCAGCTGGGACCACAATAGTTGAAATCCTCGTTATATTCCTTGTTTTGTCATGAATGATTTGATGATTCGTAATGAGAACACAATGATTCGTAATGAGATCTTTTTTAGTTCTGCGACCACATGTTATTTTACCAGTGAGATTAGCTCAACACGGCAACCCGGATTACGGACTTTCCGGTTGGTAAAACGGTGGAGGGCAGGACAATAACAACATTTAGGGGCTGTAAAACTGATTTTGAAATCCAAATATCTCGGCTGAACTACTGTTTTCAGTTAAAGAAGTATTCAAAAAGAGCATGTTTAGTTAATATCTTTTGACAGATTAGGGCCATTTATTGAAGACTTGACACAAAAATATTCTATATTGCTACTTTGCACTCAGTCCTCAGTACAAATAACAAATTCCCACAGTACGGTGAATAGATAGCTATGGCCTACGCAGGAATGGACAAACGCAAGACAAGCTATATTTTATACTTTTATTGATTTTGTTTTATTTTTATTAGTATAGCTATTGTTCACTTAACTTGTGCCGTGTGCTCCTCTTTCCTACTGTTCTATAACTTGTGATGTAACACTGAAATTTCCCCACTGTGGGAAGAAAGAAGAATTAATCTATACAAGTGATCCGTAGGTCACAACGACCCGATTGTGTATCTGCTACGATTGTGTATCCATGTTATGACTCAACTATGTTCTGATTGTCTCGACACATATTATGCCTTTCCATGTGTGACGTATGTGTGGCGTAATGTTGACTACTATAAACCATATCCTGACTGTGTTCTGTCTGAAAAAACTGAAGGACACTGAGAATAAACTTCCATGTGGCTCTGGTGCGTAAAGATCCCGTCTCTGTGAGGGTAATTTTCCACAACAGCTCTCAACATGATAAAAGTATCTAAACTCTGATGCAAGTCTGTCTGCTGCATTTCTCCAGAGGATTCAGTGATGAATCTGGTTTGGGAGTCTCATTCATGTTATATTCAAGAAAACGGTCTGAACACAGTTGATTGTGGTGGCAACAATTGTATTAGTATAGGCCAGTGTCAGAACCATTGCTAGTGTCTATGTCTGCTTTTTCTGACTGCTTTGTAAATATCTCTTGTTGTATGTGCACTGTGTATTTATTGTGTGATGTACGTTTTTATTGCTCTCCCCTATAGTCTTTGTTTTTCTGCATTTTATTATTGTATGACTTTTTAATGTTAATACCCTTAGGGAGACTGCAGATCACTTGGGTAATTCTGGTGGATTTTTCAGAATTGTTTATTAACGCTCAATGTCCCCGTAAAAATAACATAAAATAAACACAAGCCCATGCAGTTGAATCAAGTCCAGCAAGGACATGTTCAAATTATAAAACAATTTCATTTGTGTGAAGCAAAAGAATTCAAGAAAATGAATGAACAGTTTTTTAGGAATAGGTTTCACAACTTATCCAAGTCTGTCTTAAGTTCTGAAACATCTCTGTGGGAAGTCAGGAGAGCATAGCTTAGATTTAAACTGTGCTCCAATTATTGATATTATTTCCATAAAATTTTTTATTTGGCTGTTGTATTTCATGTAATGCACTCTCTCCACTCTCCAGGGCCATGCAAACCCATAGTACAGGTCTATCAGTGAGATTGGCATGCCTCACCTCCTTTCTCCTTCAGTTTAAATTGCCTGTCAATTCTCCCAAGTGTTTGACTGCCAGACACTTCAAACTGTTCGCCCCAAAAAGTACAACGCTCATAGGAGTCATTTATTCATTTATAACCATGTCCGCTATCGATCTCAACCATCTGTCACCTGCCATACACTTTGAGAAGCCCTCGGCAAACTTGTGAGACAACATTATCCCCGGAAAACTTTCAAAGGCTGAGACTGCTGAGACAAAACCTACGAGGATGAATACACAAAATGGTTGTTTGCTATAGCAGGGTGTTTCTCTGCTGCATTGCACATTGTCTTATAAATCATTTTCAATTATGCACCATGCAAATTCAAAGCAAAACCATTAAGAGTAGATTTTTACAAGAAAAAAATACAGGAGATTTGCACAAGCGTGGGCTAAACAGATTACATAAATTTAGCAGCGCAATAATTTTGAGCCTTTATAGAGTCATTTTCTCTGGGAGCTGTCAGTGTGATTAATGGGGCACTAATGTGAGAATAATACAACTCTGGAAAGACAGAGAGTGGAGCAGCTTCTTGTCGAAAAAGGGATGATGCGAGTAGTTTATTAAAGGTGCACATAACTGTTTGTTTGTCTAAGGAGATTTAGTTTGGTATGTTCCACAGAGAAGCATTAAATTATAATGGGATCGCTTAGAGCAAAATGGCGGGAATCTTTATACGGGGCTAAGTCCAAAAATTAAAAATAAGTTGACTATTCTGTGTTAAATGATTTTGTGAGTAACATCGGACTTCACTCTTGTGCTTTACTCTCTCAGATTGTATTTTAGTTTATTTCAGTATAGAGTTATTGTTAATTTATCCGTGTGTGCTCCTCATTCCTCGTTCCAAATCATGAACTACATGTAAGCAGACAGAAGAAAGTAAGAACTAATTTAATAGTACAATGTGTTTTTGTAAACGTTATCTTGTCGGCTGCAGAAGGTGCCAAACGTTGAGTTTGCGAGACACAGAATTTCACCAGCTAGTTTTGAGAAAATGTTGATAAAAAAAATATAACGATGTCCAGAACGGCAAAAGAAAAACCTGATTTTTTTGTGTATAGGTTTCAGCTCTGTTTCAAGCATTTAGTTAGTTGACATGGACATTGCACAATGAATGTATTATTCAGACCGGACATAGGTTTACAGTGTGTAAAGAATAAATATAACGGCCTAATTAGGATTTAAAATTTTATCTTATCATTGTGCTCTGATATACAGTATAATTATTCATAGAGAGAGATTTACTTCCAATTACATCAAATAATACATTCATCAAATTGCTAAAATAAAGCACACACACATACACACCCACACCACTCACACTCTCTCACACACACGCACACACTGTATCTTGTCTGTCTTGTTGTAACTGTATCTGTTTGTATGTCTGCACTGGTACTGTATGTCTGCACTGGTACTGTATGTCTATCTTCACAATAAAAGATTTAAAATATATATATATAAAATAATACATGAAAAATGGTCTCATTACCTGAAACCCACTGTGTAGTCCATGGTGTTACCAGAGTTGTTCTTTGTCAGCAGAAATCTGTACCAAACAGAGAAGGAAATATTATAATATATAATATAATATAAATATATAATAAATATATCATATAATAAATATATAATTATAGTAAATATATAATTATAATATAATATAAATATATAATTATAATATAAAAAGAATAAACAAAGACATGACATAATATTTTGTGGTGTACACGGGCACTCAAAGGCACAAATGAAACAAACAATGTTTAGAACCTTTTTTTAGGTCCTGTCTAGTCACTAAATCAATAGCAATGGCTCCAGAAAGGTGTGATGTGGACAGTTTTAATAATTAAACACACCCAAAGCAAGACTCAAGTCTACGGTTGGTCATAACACGCTAAAGACTACAGGGGCTCGGCTTACGATGTTAAAAGCAGGTAATTGGAGTGAGTAATTGGACGGTTAAGAGGCTCAAAGTGGCAACCCATTGATCAGAGCTCCCCAAGGCTCAGACACCCACAGCAGAGGAGAGGTGACCTTGGGGAGACTTAGACCCAATCTCAACTCTCTTTTGTACCCCTTCCCCTTAAACGTGAGGGCTCAGGTGTAGGGATCTAAACACTGCCCTTTGAAATGAGACAGACCTCTTTTGGTCACTTTATGGAATTTAGAATGTATACTATTTATGATTATCACACAGATAAGAGAAAGAAGGTCCAGGATTCAATTCCCGGCCAGTCAGGTCCCTCCTGTGCTCCCTGTGTCTCCTTTAGTTTTCCCGACCACTAAACACATGTTCAATAGAAGTGCTTGATGGTGGATCCACCAGTTGTGTCGCATTGCCACTTCTGTCATCAGTGTCTTTAAATGAATGGGAAATAGAACACATTTCAATATTAATGACCCTGCTCCGTGAAATAAGCTACATAAATAAAGACAACTTATACTTACAGGTGTGAAAGCAGAATTTTTTGAGGTCTACTCTAACTGACCTCAGACATAGCGTGAGCATGAGCATCTGTCAATAAGATGTCAAAACTTAGGCCAAGAATGCAAGCAGAGCTGGACATTCTGACCACTGGAAATGCTGACTTGTTGTCTGACAACGCAATTCTACATAACGTGTCTCTTTACTACATTTTTCTGTTGGTAAATCAGTAAAACTGTGGTTTATAATGGAAGAGGAGACTGTTATGGGAGTTATGGGACTATTAAGGGAGACCCAAACATAAACCATAACAACTCCATACAATGATTGTGTTCAAGTGAATTGGGGCAGAGATGCTGTCCACACTTTGTTGATCCACACATTAAAGACGTCTACTCTGTTTGTCTTCCATCTTACAGGCCAACCACTCACGAGCATTTTGGATTAACACAGGATAATGACTTATTACAAGTTATTTTTGAAGTATATACAGAATATAACCAAGGAATATGATGCACAATGACAATGTGTGACTGTATTGGCCTTTGGTGCTAACACAGTACTTATCATTTTTGTAGTTTTGGGAGCTTTAGAACAAGGATTGTTCACACTGCATACTATTCTCATTCATCATTTGTAGGTTTAACGATCCTTGAGCAGCCGGGATAGAAAAGCAGTCTCTCAGGAAAGTGCACACTCCTGCCCAACCGCCACAGCAGGGAGGGGAAGGAGAAACCGCAGAGCTTTGACCTCTGGGAGTCCGCTCACAGCATTGGTGATAGAGTAAGTATTCTAAAATACAAGTAAAACAGCCTGTGTCTGTCTCTAAAGTTTGTGAAGTCCACAGCAGCAGGTGACTGGAGCTGGCACTGTGCTGTGATCCATCCTGCTGATTCAATGGGACAATCCGATCTCATGGTTGTATAGAGGTGCGTGTGAAGGTACAAAACTAATAAAGCTAAAACAATCTTATTTCTCTTCTTATTAAATATTTAAATACAATGCTTACTTATTGGATTTTTGAAGATTCCGACAGCACATTTACTTTGTTTGTGGAAATTTCCCATTGTCGTTTGTCTGTGAGAAGCCATCTGATATTTCCCCGTTTGAAGGGCTATCAACACCAACTCCTCATTTCTAAAGAGAATTGATTCAGCAAAAGGAAGGGGTAGAGATAAAGAGAAGGTCTGAAGGGTAGCCTTAAGCCTCAAGCGTTTCGATCAGGTATTAACTTTGCTACTGCCCCTTCCTCAGGATCTCATAGTGTTGCTATGACATCTCTTAGGTGATCTATTTGGAGCTGACTACTTTTGGGAGCAAATCTCAATCTTCTTATAATTCAATATATCTCAGAGCATAAAGAATTCACCAACACGGAACAAAGAATCAAACCGTTCAAACACAAGAAATAAAACAGAAAACAGTTTGGTATTGATCCATAAGGGACAGATTACCAATGTCCATCTGCAGTCAGTCAGCACTAAATCCCAGACATGAGATAGTTGGTATAACCACTCAACTCGGTTTAAAGTGCGGTGGGTCAATTGTTAGAGAAAACAAAAGTCTTGTGTTTAAGGAGAACAATCATAAGTGGGGAGTATACCTTGGTGGTTTTGATTTTGTTGCCAGTAGCGCAGCTCCATCCCTTAAGATCAGGAAGTACTTTGCACTCCTCCCCATCAAGGCACGGATGCATCTGACACCACCACTTCTGCTCCACTATCGAGGCTGGACACAACACCACATTCAACAGTCTCAATATTTCACATTGGAATACACTTTCAGATCTTTCAATTGCAATTTATTTTTATCTTTTTTATTTATAGGAGGATTTTCCCAAACTTTAGGAAAGAACTGCCCTCTCCACTTTGGCAATTAGAAGGACCAATACACCTGGAAGTAGAAAATCCTTCTATACACCTTTAGATTAATGAATACTCTTCATTGGCATATTTTGTCCTGAAAATCCAGAAAAATTGAACACATTGGGCACAGTGGCTGAGTGATAGCACTCTTGCTTCTCAGCAAGGAGGTCCTGGCACTTAAAGCACGGATTATACAGTATGTACAGATAAAAGACCATAAAAGTGTACAAAACAGGTTATAGTTGGGTACTGAAGATCTTGGTTGACTAACGCCATGCACTGAGCATAGATTAACTGACGTGAGAATAGAATGGTATTGGTAAAAGCTGCTCAACCAATACGTGTTCAAGTAATGCCTAATGAACCAGTCCTGTGCAAAGCTGCATTACCAAATGGGGGATCAAACTTTTATAACTCAAACCAAAACAAAAATATCTCTTTGAATCCATTTAAAACTGTATGGCAACCCTGCCTCCTTCTCTTTGTGTCGTGAGAGACAAATGCTCACAACAATTGTAAAGCGCTTACCTACCACTTACTTACCTACTTACACAGGGTGTGGGTTTAATGTTTGCCCCAACCCAAGCACAATGGTCACTGGATTTGGTCTTTTTGGTCTTCCCTGCGCTGCATCACAAGCTGTAGTCCACAAACCCATCCCTCTGCTTTAGATTCACAGTGGCTCACACACTGGTACAGACTCATCTATGAGGACTTGTGGATCTTCTTCCTCTAAAACATAGCGTTTATCTAGTGTTCTGACGCACTTTTAGATCAAAGGATGTCCACAGCATCAAGACAGAAAGAGGTAAATGCCTGATATAGACAAATATCCACCTCCAAGTCTTGTAATGCCTTTGTTCTTATTTGTACAGCTAATATTCATAATACATAGTGATTAAAACTATATGTGTTGTAATCTCCTCTTGACCAGGTCACCCATAGAAATGACACATTTGAATCTCAACAGATTTTCAGCATATCCGTTAAAATAAAACATGACTTTACTCTATACACAAATTCCATCACATTTTTAATATTTTAGTTTTTAATCTATTTTCAATCCACCTCTCATACCGATTAGTATTGTACACATGTTCCGTCCGTCTGTTTTCTTCCCCTTCATTCAGGGGTGTCCAAACCTGTCCAGAAAGGGCCGCTGTGGTTGCAGGTTTTCTATCAGAACCAACAGGAGCAGAGTAGACTCCACCCATTTCCTCAAGAGAGTTCTGTCTTCCCCTGAAGATTTGAGGAAATGGGTGAGTCTGCTTTGCTCCTGTTGGGTCTGATAGAAAACCAGCAGCCACAGCGGTCCTTTCTGGACTGGTTTGGACACCCCTGCCTTAATTCATTTGGTGGCAATCAGCTACCGCCCAATTCACAGAGCACCAGCCCCTCTCTGATGCCCCTGCAGGTGAGGAGTCCACAGGAGGACGGCTGCTCTGTCAGTGACGACACAGCCTTGATCTTTCAGCAGGGGCTTCAGGTAAAGTGGGGTTAAGTGCCTTGCCCAAGGACACAACAGCAGCAGACATCAGAGGAAGCCGATGGAGAAGGTCTTGTGGGATCGAACCCACAAACTTCAGACCAATGCTCTACCAACTGTCAACATATATTATCCAATAAGACTAGAAGACCAATTCAAATGATTTGACCTTTATACTTTGGTTACTCTCTCTGAAATGATTGAGTGTATCATAGTATAATTTGGATTTGCCATATTACTGAGGTCATTATGCACGTTCCACTTTCCCCTATCATTAGTTTGATTTCTAATGAACAGAATTACTATTATATTCCACTCATAGCCGCGTTTTCTCACTGCACTAAATTACCCTGAATGGATACTTTACAGCTTGAGGGGATCCATTCATATCAATGCACAGTTAATGGCAGCAGGTCAACAGCTGACAGATGGTGCTGGTCTAATAACACATTACAAAGCCTCATGTTTGAATATAGCGTACAACTATTTATTATGTATATATTAACATGTTGCCCTTGAACTTCAATAGATTACACGATTTTATGACCATGTGTTCCATTTCAAATGCATACAGTACATGGTGATCTGGACATTCAAGGGAATGTGAAAATGAAAAAGAGCTTATAATGCAAACAATAGTGGGATTTTTGTATTTCCACTTCGCAGAAACTGAACTGCCACACTGTAATAAATGAAACATTGGATCAACTTAATAAAAGTAGTGTAAACATTCACAATAAAGATCATACATTGACCTGAGGTTGAGAAAGCATTCAGTTCAATCTAAATTTCTGCATTTTCTTAATTTGGTGTAAATAAGAAAACTAAATTGGCTTGAGTGTAAAAGAAGGGTTTTTACAGAGTTGATCTCAATTTAGTTTTATTCAATATGAAATATGTATTTGTTGCAAGTGTATTTTTATCTTCCACCTGGAGGAAGTATGTTAGATATTGTAATCACCATATAGTAAGGTCCTGAACTTAAGCACTCGCATGCTGAGAAGTAATAATGCTTGCAACTCTGTTAGAGCTGAGTTTCTAGGACGCATAGTGACCATTTAATGGCATCTGGTTTTAATCAAGGGAACCCAGGGAGTATACAGATGCTTTGGCTTGGCCCGGTCGATCACGGTTGGCAAAAACAAAGACAAAATGTTGCTCAATTATTTTGCTTTAGGACTTATTTCATATTCACTCTTAAAACTAATGCTCAAATGTAGAATTTTTAAGAAGTTTATATTTTTATCTGCAATGCATTCTGGGTAGCGTCACTGCTTTGCCACATTTTGTTTTCAATCAACACAAAATATTTGTTTGGTCATTAATGGACCACCAGGCTTACAAAATACATAAAGTATTTTCACTTAAAGCAATAAGCTCAGTATTGTACAGACTGCTAATGTTATACAGTACTTATTTGTCAACCAAAAATATAAAATAGTGGGAAATGAAGTATATAGTAATTACTTAAAATATTTTACATCAAAGTTTGGTCTGATTCACTTATTACACTATAATCTAGTTTTTTAGATTCTCTCAATATTTTTTCCCTAAAAAGTCACTCAGAGCAAACGTTCTTTTCAGTATTTTGTTTGAAACACAAAGATTACAGACATCAACTTTTTAACAGCAATTTTGTCTCCTCAACCGTCCACTCAAGTTCTGCCTTCAATGTCTTCTTCTTCCAGAACTTTCTCTCAGATTTCATGTGTTATCATGCATGAAACGTGCTTGATTGATAAAAGTAATTTGAATCTTATTTTTACTTTATACTTTTATATTGTATCAATCTACAAAAATAGATTGAAGGACACATCATATTTACAAAATTTAATTTTACATAACAAATTAATATGTTTAGGATGAAAAAAAAAACATCAAATGAAACACAGCAATGTTTTACTTTTTTCAGTGCATTGTTGAATGGATACACATTATTTTCACTCTTTTTCCTCAAGGTGCCTTGGAACAATATAAAAGTCTGTGGAGTGTCACTAAACATAAAGAATGGGAAAAATGAAAAGTGCTGCGCATCAGCATACCTGTGAGCTCAACTGCTTAAAGTGAAGTGAAAACCTATGGTAGAGACATGTTCTAAATTTGCTCGGAATGGGTAGAACCATGTCTCAAGGCAAATGAAGCTAAATATCTGGGGCCTCATTCGTAATCGTTTGCGCAGGAGTTTTGCTGAGCAGGGCGTAAGCGTAGTGGCCACGAGAGGCCTACACCATGCAAATGCAAGATTAATAAAACCATATACATGCTCTCCAACCAGTGTTTTATAGATCCCACCTACAGCTGGGATCTTGCTCCTAAAACCCAAGTCACGACACGCTCTCTCCTCACCTCCACAGCAACACATACAGTGGTGCACTCCATGTCTTAATACGCCTTCAATTTGTGCACATTTTGTCAGGTCTACAACCTAATTTCCTTTTAGATAGTTTACTAAAAGTTCCCAAGTCACAGTGAGGTGAAATCAACATGATTATTATATTTTTCAATGTATAAAAAAAGAAATAAAAAAAGTAGAATACCATGCACATGTAAGAACATTTTTGCAGGCACTACTTTTCCACTTTTAAAATAATAACAGAATCATGTATTGTTTTACTTTCACATCACAGTTGTGCGTTACTTGAGTGTAAACTTTCTGTAAAACAGTGTGATCCCCCACGACCTCCTCCCACTGGGGTCTGCTGTGGTTGTGTCTCTGGGCATGAAGACACTTATCCCTACTTTGTCTGAAGTCCCAGCTAAAAGACCAAGGGTGTGATTGACTCACCTATAACCCCACCCACCCCAGATGGACTAATAAACACATGAACATGACGAAACATGACATTATTGATATGATTTACAATAAATTCATTTGTATTTTGTAACGATTGAAATAGCAATATGCAGAAGTACAGTACCTATATCATTTTTGTTTCAGAATACGGTGCGAGCAGTTGTGACATGAACAGTACAATGATCATATCAGCCTTCATTTTGTTATTTATAATATATCTATTTGCCACAATTCCTTCTGGTTCTGTACACAGCGCATTGACTGCAGACGCCTACTCTATAACCCAACCACACTGGTCTAAAAAAACGGTCTCACATTCATACTGTTAACACGGGTGAACTCGGCATTTGAACACGGGTCCAAAAACTCCGGTCTGCAGTGTGAAAAGGGCTCATGTAAGCCAGCTTTATAAGTGAGGCCCATAAGGAATAGAGTCATGACCCCTCATGCTTGCATAATTCCTGAATGATTTTCATGCATCTGCTGTGTTCTTACAACAGATGTTAAGATTGTGAATACCACGCTGCCAGCTCTCTATTTGGACACCTCTGTGAGAATTTAGTGGCGGGCACCGGTCAATTACAAATTCAGATCAATTGAGGTTTTCTCAGATGTCTCGAGCCCCATTTGTCTCCATATAAAGAGGGTGATTGTCTCTCACAGTGTGTGGCTAAAGGTAATCCCTGGCTGTAAAGAGAAAGAATAATTAAAAGGTTAAGTGCTGATCATTTTTCGCTGCAATCACCCGCAGAGCTTTAAACTCCAGCCGGCGGCTCACAGCTCTAATTTGCTCAAAATGTCAATAGAAAATGTCAGGGAATAGGTCAAACAGGACTGTGCTGGGAGTGCAGCCTGAACCAGAGCTGGTCACACCAAAGACTCTCTAACACATTAGCATGCTAAGAGCCCCCGTGGGTCATTGACTTTACAGTGAGCAGTGGACAGAGAACATTCATTCATATCAGTGATTAAAAGAACCTTCAGGGAATCAGATATCACATCACCATTAATTATGGTGGAAATAACACAAGGAAGTTAAGCGCTGAAAGTTTTACTGAAAAGGTTGGAAACATCTTTGTGCTTGCATTTTTTTTTTGTATTCTTTAACCATCCATTTTAAAACTCAACTCGGAAATAAGTGTAAAAGCCCATTCGCCATTCAGCTGGAGCACAAAGAAGGCAACGCAGTCGGAAGGTAGAGAGCAGAGAAGTACACACGCCAAAGAACTATATTGTTTGGAACACTCAAATTCTGCAGAACAATCACATTCCCCTGCTCCAGACTTGTAAGAGATTCATTTCAAAGCGAGTACAGCAACAAAGACACATACCGTCCACACATGAAGGTGCTGCTCTCGTGGTGCCGGCCACTTGTCCAGGGAAACACGAACACTTGACTGTTTGCGAGCGCTCCTCAATCTTATTCTTGTTGCAGCAGCGGTGCAGAGCCACCACTTCACAGGTCCCAGTCCGGACCTCGTGAGTCACTGTGGACGTAGACGGACCAAATCAGCGAAAACAAAGGCTAGAGAAGCTTCACAAAACCAGAAATGTTCACAGTCACACAAGGAAATATTCTCCTGATCAGGTATTGCTGTATAAGCCTTTGTTTTGTCTTTTTTGTTGTCTGTCTGCTTTATTCTGCTTTATTTTCGTTTTAATCTGACTGTTTTTATTGCTTTATGGTGACTGTGAAGCGATACAAATATAGATGTATTGTTATTATTATTATTATTACCTCTGGAGATGAATGCTGTGACATTGATGGATGGGTCAAACACGTTTTTTTTAAAATACAGTATATATATAAAGAAAAGCACAGCGTCTGTATGCAAAAGTTTACATGGCAGCCAGATCCACACTGTGGTTCTCATTGTTCTTTTAAAAATACATTTGTAAGTTCCATGAGGAAAGGTGTAAATTATTTGTACAGAAAAACACAGATGAATTTGCTAAATTTGTAATATCGTTCAAAAGTGCATTGACGTGTGCATTTATTAAATCAACTTAAAATGTGAAACTAATACATGACGCACTCATTCCAAGTAAAGTTAGATGTATCAAGCTTTTATGTGCTATTATGTTTTTAATTATGGATCACTGATTTTTAAAAACCCAATAAATCATCTCAGTCATTTTGAAATTGGACTGTAAGCCATAATCATCACAATTACACCAAAAAACGTTGCATGTAATGAGTCTTTATCATATAAAGCTTTCACTTTTTCATGCAAATAACAGAAATAAAATATTTTTTTTGTGATATTCTAATTGTTTTCACCTGTAGTGACACTCATATCTCAGTTCATAATTATGCATAAGTCTAGAGATCCATTTCAACTTCCAAATAGTAGTAATTTTTTTCTAAAGGGAGACTAAAATCAGAATCAGAATTATTTGTATTGCCATTGAGCATACTGTAACAGTCCTAAGGCAAGGCAAGGGACATTTATTTATAAAGCACAATTCATACAGAAGCAACCCAGGGTGCTTAAGTCACAAACTGAGACTTTTTTTGGCATATGGTGCAAACACATGAATTGTACTTTACAAATGAACTTGACTTGCCTTGCCTATATAAAGGCACACAATAGACACACACTCAGCTGTCTTCACTTCCTTATGCAACTTCAAATCACCAGCCACAGACCGAGAATTGTGACTGAAGAGAAACAAACATTTGCAGAAGAGATTTCGTCATCACTTTGCCAAATGACACCATCAATGTCACTTTAGAACTTGAAAAGAGGAGCAACTACTGCTACCACCGTTCACACATATTCATCTTTTTCTGTTAAAAACCTGTTTGAAAAGTCATATTTCACATGTATGATGTGTTTTATGATCTTCTACTTCGAAAGGGATTTTAATTTTAATGGTTTAGTTATTAAACCTAAACTTGCTTTCTCTTGCTTCTCATAAATCCATAATAATAGAAAAAAAAAACGAAACAAAAACCAGTTACAGTATATCATACATTTTGGCAGCTACCATGGCATATATAATTATAACAAAACATTTTCCATGACAACCACGTTTATTTTTTAAAGATTATTTGTCCCACAGTGGAGACATGTTGCATCACTGGTTACAGAAATTTAGGAATGAGGAAACACAATTAATGAAATTCCTACTCTAAAATAAATTCTCTAACTTAGCATAATGAGAAGAAAGTAAAACGTCTCTAGCTTTAGCCTAATGATTAAGCAAGAATTAAATATAAAGTCTCTATCTTTAGCATAATGAAGAAGCAACTTTGATACTGTATATTCTTGTGCAATAATTATATAGTTGTATTCATATTCATTCATCAACATTATTCAGAATCAAACCCCCCCTGCCTTTTTCAATTAGTCTAGTAGTTAGTAATTAGAAATAGATAATAATAATAATATAATAATTATAATAATAATAATTTTTTTTTTTTAAAAGACACTTTAAAAACATGGTTAAAAACAGGGTCAAATTAAAAAACATTAGCATTACAAAACAGAACTGGACAAAGGTGTTAGGTTAACTGGTCAATTGGGGAAAGAAAGTCTGAAATTGTGATGTTTTGTGTCTCAATTGGAACAGGGGAAGAGAGTCGGTGTTACGGAGGTTAGGGGGGAGTGAGTTCCAGAGCTGGGGAGCAGAGCAGCTGAATGCTCTACCCTCCATGGTGACGGGGAGGAGAGAGGAGGACAGAGAGGAGGAGAGAGGAGGAGGAGTGGAGGAGGTCAGACAGGTGTGGAGGGTTATGGAGAGCTTTGAATGTGGTGAGGAGGATTTTAAAGAAGATGTGTTGTTTTATGTGGAGCCAGTGTAAGTGTTGGAGAATCGGGGTGATGTGGTGGATGGGGGGTGTCCTGGTGATGATGCGGGTAGCGGCGTTTTGGAGGTGCTGCAGTTTCTAGAGGGATTTTTTGGGGAGACCAAAGAGGAGGGAGTTGCAGCAGTCAATCCGGGACGTAACAAGGCTGTGGACAAGAATGGCTGTGGAGACGGGAGATGTTACGGAGGTGAAAGTAGGCAGTGCGGGTGATGTTATGAATGTACTATACTATAATTATCATCTGTATTACTAAATCTAATCATTTTGTTCAGAAAATCTACCATAATAATGACATCCAAACTCATGTTAATCATAAGTATACATAATAAGTCAGTAATACAAATATAGATACAAAATATGAGCTTTAAAACAAACGTTGAACTACAGGTTAAACTATATGTTGTGGCCCCATGTCTCAAACACATTTAGTTTATTTCTTCCCCGGACCAAAATTACCATGACAACCTGTTTGCAAAGCCACAGATTTAATATAATTTCCAAATCAAATGTAGATAATGCTCAGAACCAGCTTGAAGATTGGGCCCATTGCGCACTGTATAAAAGCTGCTCATTTAAATTGCATGTGACATTTTGGTGACGTGTCCTTCTGTACAGAGACCCTTGTGTCCAAGTAAACAGTAAATGCAAACTGACTGCAGCAGATCTGCTCCTGACTGTCTGTACAGTGGAGTGTAAGAAGTCACGTAATTAGCTTTTCACTTGGGTGCTGTGTAATGGTGGGTGGCACACTGATGGAATGTCTGTGGAGGCAGCGAGATATTAAACCTGACAAAGATATACAGCAACATGAGCCCCGCAGGGAAACGCTGCCTGTTCTATAAAAAGATGAACATACAGGTAAACAGTGGTATGTGTGCATAACATTTATTTGGCACTGTGGAACCCTAAATAATTGTGTTTATTGGACGAATCTGCAGACATGTATGTATATATATTTTTATTTATCTTGAATATAAATCATTAACTTGTCAGCGTGATTCAATATGTGCAATACTTGCCACATGCCTGATTGTATAACTCGCATGTTGTCTACAATTATAAAAGTAAAAAAAAAAAAATGGTTATAATGATCAAGCTCTCCCACTATTGAACATCTCACTGAAACAAACAAACTTTTCATGAAGGATTAGGATGTGGGAAATGCATGTATATGTATTGGAAAAGATCACAGAGAAAAGACTATACTTTTGAAAAAATCCAATTGTAATGCATTTTTAAGGTTACATGATCTGTGCTGCCAAAAATATATTGATCATGTTTCAGTAAAACTATTTGAAGTTTGTGTACTATACTCATAAAAGATTATACATTAAATGTGCATTGTGTGGTCAGCTGCCTCTTTCTTGACAAAGATATGTTACTGTGTAGCCTGGAATGTCTCTCATTAAGGTAGACTCCCTCTACACAGATATGAGCAATTACTTTTCCATCCACATTGGACACAAACAAGTGACATTACCACTTATTTATTGCCACATTATGTGCAACATTCCAGGAATGTTTTTCTTAATGTAATGACGTTTTACATCAAGGCTAGTGGACCTTCAATCAATGAGTTGTAAAATAACACTTTGACCATTGATGAACATAATGTACAAGCTTTCCCCATTAAAAAGCACCTGGGTTAATAGTTCCACATCATAGAAATGAAAGTCAATTTAATTTGCTTCTGTTCCATTTAAATCAAAGTTGCCCTTTGGAATGCCTCATGAATTTTAAGTGTAAATTTATACTTGTAAATGTTTCAACAACTCAGCCTTTGTCAACCAAAATTATCATTGCCTGACTGTACAGGACTTTATTATTTTAAAGCCTCACAATGAACAAAGTGTAAGCAGAGCTAAAGTTACCCCTATTATTAACCAATTGGATACAAAGGAAGGTTTCCCACCCATCATCTGTACTTCAGTTTGCAGGTTTTTCCAACGTTTTGTTCTTCTCCAAATAACTTTTTCAAGGGAATATTATAAATCTTCCTTTGTTTTGACTAATCCCTGTACGAGCGCTTACGTAAACTTAAACAAATGAATGTCACTTACAGCACACAACTCCAGGGGCTTGTTTCTATAATCTTATTGAAACAACTCAAACTAAACTAATTTCTGAGTTACTAATAAGCTGAATATCAATGTTCTTTATCATTGATGGCCAACATGGTGCTGAGACATTGCGCTGGATAGTACATGTGTCATGACGCAGTGGCAAGAGCTAGCGTGTACTATCTGGTACACACTGAGGTACTCTTGCAGTTATTTCAATGTAGTTTTACTGCAAATGGCAAATAAACTTTATGTCAGCTGACCTGGCTCAGCCAATAGGAATCAGGCTTGTGGGGCAGGGCTATCGTCGATATTAATAGTATGAATTAAGATAAATGAAGACCCATTTAAAAAACCCAAAACTGCAAGTCTCACAGCCTCATAGTGAGAAGCCTAATTAGTTCAGAAGAGGTAGCGATGATAATAACCAAATAAGAATGAAAGAGAATTAACATGATTCTTTTATATATATACTTATATGCTCTATACACTTATATAAAAGGTTACACTGGAGCAAACACAGTATTTAGTATTTAGAAACAAATTGTGCAGTTCTCTCACTTAAAAAATTGAGAGGCCTGTAATATTCAGCGTAGGTATACCTCAACTGTGA